GTTTACAGTTATGTGGTCGGGTTATAGCGCAGCCATATTACGTCATCGCTCGCCAGTCATGTGTCATGTATAGTGCTTGGAAACCCTAAGGACAATTATGACATGGCGAGCGAGTATTTCGTACTTCAATTTTATGGCTTTCCATCACTCACAAGTTAGTTTGATGTTACGTACATTATTAACATTACAGAATCCACATATTCCTGCCAGTTTTAATATGTATTTTGTAATCAACAAGTGTGTAACACCGGTCAAAGTTTGACACTTCTCTGGCCATTATCTCCGTAACCGTTCAACTTTGGACATAGGTGTTTTGGGTTATATCGGCATACTTTAACATAAGGAACACCCTCCCGAAGTTTGGTCCATTCCTCCTGGGACACCCTGTATACATACATTACCACAGTCAATAAGTTCACGGAATATCCGCAAAGCGTCATACAGGAATTTACTGCCAGTATGTTTCAGCAATGTTTTTGGCAGCTATACCAACGTTGGCAGACTTGCATAGTGGCCAACGGCAACTATTTTGAGGGCTGATGTGGATCTGCCTAAATGTATGTGATGTGATAAAACCAAATTCCACGAACTTAATGACTCTACCGCGTATATATGGGTGCACATGGGAGCATAGTTGGTTGCTGCATTACGCTGCAAGCCGGAAGATTGTGGTTTCAATTCCTGATGGGGTCATTGGATTTTTCTATTGACCTAATCCTTTCTGCCGCACTATGGCCCTGGGGTCAACTCAGCTTTTAACAGAAATGCATACCAGGAATCTTCTGGTGGGTAAAGGGTGGCCAGTGTGTAAGACTGATGTCACCACCATCTGTTCTCTAATTGTCTAAAAGATGTGGGAGCCTCAACATCTCACAATCCAATGGGTGTATGTGGCCTGTTACAGGGAAAGCTTAACTTTAACTTTTTTATGTATATACATAAAAGTAGGAGATTGCTTGTAACTATTTCTGTGTGTATCTGACAGTGCATGATGTTATATCATTCTTATGCCATAGTAATTTTCTCACGCTTACACATATGGCAGCTCTAGGTTCATCTGTGCCATCTGAACAATTAAGATATAGTAGTCTGAGTTCTCTTTAATAGAGAAAGGAGGGAGGTAAAGGTTTGAAAGGGGTAAAGGAAAGAGAGAAAGGTGGTGAAAGACCCAGATATGAAAGAACTATTCCCTGCTTAATTTCAGTGGGTTTTCCAAGTAATTGTCATGAAATGTTAAATGTTAACACTATTTTTTTGAGCTTTGTTAAATTATATATGGAGTGGCGCAACCGTAATGAATTGTAATTACTGAGACTAGTGTGTTTATAAGACCAGAACTGTTCTATTATTTCGTAAGTGTTAAAAGAAGATATCATGTAGTGTTGGGCAGAAGAAAACGAAATGCTGTATTGATGCTTATCATAAATGTAGGGAAACTTCAAATCATTGATGTTTAATGCAGGCTTTTGTGTTGTTTGGAAAGTATTTATTTTATATTGTTCTTTATTTTATACTCTTTAATTATTATTATGATGTGTCCTACTTGTTACAGGTTCCAGAAACAATAGCTGCATTAATTAAGGCTGATATCCATATGTGGGTTCTAACGGGTGACAAGCAAGAGACTGCGATTAATATTGGCTACTCTTGCAGGCTGATAGTACATGGGATGCCTATACTTATCCTCAATGAAGACAGCCTAGATGTTAGTATAATTTTATATTAGTTATGTTAACCCTTTAAAGACTGAAATTCTTATAAATAATATATATAAAATTCAGTTTGTACTTGCAGGAAACGCAGGGCCATGCCATAGCTCAAGCGGTTAGTCGCTGGCTTCCCACTACGGCGGTCCAGGTTCGATCCCAGGTCTGGTCAAGTGGGATTTATGGTGGACAAAGTGGCACTGGGGCAGGTTTTCTCCAAGTACTTCGGTTTCCCCTGCCAATCTCCATTCCACCAATTGCTCCGCAGTCACCCTCACCTATCATCTGGCGCTGGTACAATAGGCCAGAAGTGGCCGCAGTACAAGGGACTTAGTCCCACCCCACTAGCAATAAAAAAAAAATACAGGAAACATATATCTCCAGTACAATGGTCAAGCTATTGATGCTGTTTAGGAAAACAGTTCCTGTTTATTGTAAGGACCATACTAAATGCATAAATACATTTTGTGGGCAGAATGCAGAGTCTGTAAGTTAAAGCATGTGGTATGTACAGTGACTGCTGGGCCTCGAAGGGTTAAACAACATGTAGACAAAGCATCTTTTCTTAATCTGAACTTCTCACGTGTTATAATGTTTACTTATATAAAATACATTACTGTTAGAAGAATTTTTCAGCTCATAATAAATTAATCTTTTTGTGTGGCAGTGATTGAGCGATTTATTTGATTTTTTCTGGCTTAATGTGGATGGGATGAATGTAAGAAGGTGATCTGAAGTTGGTCCAAGGAGTTCTTCCATTTTGTTTTTTATATCACTGACACATGAGAGAGGTAGCTTTCATTACTCTTACTAAGCCTGTCCAGTGCACTGTACACATATTTACAATAGTCTGCACAGGACAGATTTTTGTGGGGATGGTTCATTATGCTAACTCATGTCTGAGTAAAGCTACAGCTGATATTATTGGAAGCTTTGTGGTAACATTTTCATTTTCAAGAATTTTCTTCATGATGTTATCCTGGCTGTGTAATTTATAAGCCACATGCTAACCCCCCCCCCCACACACATTGATTTAAAGTATTGATTTTAAATAATCATGCATAATGAGTAGTATGGTTCTTGAAATAAAGAAATTGATGCATTATATAAGATATTTATCCTATTAATCTCAGAATTTTTATTTTGAACACTTTTTGATGTGATTGTTATTGGAAAATATACAAGGAAAGATAATTTTTGGCTATGTAGTTTGGTATATGTAACATTATTAGCTTTGCGATACTTATTTGTTTCTGCCATAAATGAGTTTTGTCATAACTGATGTATACAAAGTTCCAAAGACTTTATTATGAAATCATGTATACTAAATTTTATATAACATTTCACAAAAGAAGACAAATTTAAAACAAAACATTTTGATAAAAACTTAATAAAGTAAGTATCATAACAACAAATAAAATTTCAGCAGTCAAGTAGATTATCAACCCAAAATCCAAAAAAATAAATTATAAAACAAATTCTCTTTCACATTAAAGTAATAGTGGCCACATCAGTGTTCATCAGAATATGGTGTACATTTTCTTTCCTTCATGTAGTACAATTTCATGGTATCAGGTGTTTTTTTGGCACCCAAGTTACTGAGCAACTTGAGTCAAGCAAGCAGTAACTGTTCTGACTTGTGTTTAGAATGTGACCAGTTTGAATGTTGGCCAGGACATCAACTTATCCTAAGGTTTCTGGTGATTTTCCTCAGTCCTTCTAGGCAGATGCTTGGAAATTAACTTGAATTAGGGCTTGACCACTTTGCACATCCCAAACAATTTATTATTCACTGTCATCCAGTTTTTGAACATCTTACATTCTTGAGTTGCTGACAGCGTTATTATATGAAGTACACTTATAACTACATGGCCCCCACGTTTTGCTATGTGGTTCTATAGCAAACTAAAGCTTTTGGCTTCAAACTGAAATGCACAATGCCAGAACTTCTGTGTGCCCCTCAGATTAAAAAAGAAATAAGTCATTGTCCTTCAAAAATTTCTGTTTAATATTCCTCCCTTATTTGATATTTATCTGCTGTGAGTCTAGTCTTACTTACAGAATTCTTATGTTGATGTTGCTTTCCAGAACACACGTGAAGTGATTGCAAGGCATAGTTCAGATTTTGGTGACCAGTTGAGGAAACACAATGAAGTGGCTCTGGTAATAGATGGGAAAACGCTTAAGTATGCTCTGAGTTGTGATGTGCGCAGAGAATTTTTAGACCTCTGTGTTAGCTGCAGCGTGGTCATATGTTGTCGTGTTTCTCCTATTCAGAAAGCTGAGGTAATGAACAACGTTGTTTACTGTATTTAATTGGTTTATTTTGCCCACGTTTGTAACTCAAAAGCAAGGAATGATGTGTATTTGAGGAATTTTTATGTTCTATGAAAGAGCAGAAGCAGAATATTAGACTTACAGTAAAGATCAAAGAATTGTCAGTTTGTACTGTAATAGAAATTCTATTTATTCTGTTGCAAAAGTTACTTATTACTCAAAGTTGTTGACAAAGTGTGTTAGTTGATTGTAAAGAGACTTGCTAGGTACAGATGCACCTGAATTGTTCTTGTAACTTCATGAAGTCCACATTCCTAAGTTACTGTGGACTGGGATGCAGGGAATTAATCCAAGATTGTTTGTGTAGTGACTGTGGAAGTCACTTCAGTGACAGAATCCCTTGAATTAAGTAAATGTAATTGCTTTTCACAGTAACTTTAGTATTAACAACAATTGTTGTTATCTTAAAAACTGTTTCTTTGTATTTCACACAGTAAGCATTTATCACATTTTCTGTCTGAAACTGCAGGAGTCTTCCTTTCAGCTTCTTAAACCCAATTTTTGAAGCAGAAGCCAATAATCCCTTGTTGTACATACAAAATTGCAAGCTATAAAATTATTTGAGATTTGATGTTCTCACAGCAGTGATTATGATGTAACACAGTTTAGTTTGCACATTACATCACAAAAGACTAATAGTCAATGACATTATTAAACATACCATTACTAAATAATATTTTAACTGCAATGAATAATAAATTAATGGTAGGAGGCATTTTTTGTGATTTACAAAAGGCATGTGATTGTGTTAACCATAAAGTATTATTGGATAAATTGGAATTCTATGGAATTGAAGGAAAATTCAAAACACTTATTGGATCTTATTTGACAGGTAGATATCAAAGAGTTGTATTGGATAATAGAATTGACAGTAACAACTCATCCAAATGGGAAACAATTAAATGCGGTGTTCCACAGGACTCAATTCTTGGTCCCTTCTTTTTTCTGCTTTATATTAATGATTTACCTAAAATAATAAATAAAAATAATAATATGGTTTTAATAGTAGAGTGAATTTACCGACTACACAACACGTTTTTTATTATCACTACATGTTTCGACCTCAAGAGGTCATCCTCAGGTGTATGAACATGACTGTATAATTACACGCGGTCACATTCACTTTTCACTCATTCGACCCTGTATCTTATCTAGATTTATGCTCACTAATATATCGAGTTCTTTTATAGAACACAGGTTAAAATTATTATTCTAATTTAATTGTTAAAAGTTAAAAGTTCGTGAATCGAAGTTAAATTCATGTCACTGGTTACACTTCCACTTGTTGTGGGTACCCATCACGACAACGATCATAACAGATCCAGCAGCATCAGAGAACGCGGAAGAACAGCGAGACCTCACAAATAAGTGAAAGTGCAACCAATAACATAAGTTGAACTTTAATTCACGAACTTTTAACCAATAATAATAATAATTAAACTAGTTAAAAAAGAACTAGACACAGTTGTGAGCATAAGTAAAATGAGACTGTAAACAACAAGTGAAAGTGTAACCAGTGACATGAATTGAACTTCGATTCACGAACTTTTAACTTTTAACAATTAAATTAGAATAATAATTTTAACCTGTGTTTTATAAAAGAACTCGATATATTAGTGAGCATAAATCTGGGTAAGATACAGGGTCAAATGAGTGAAAAGTGAATGTGACTGTGTGTAATTATACAGCCATGTTCATACACCTGAGGATGACTTCTTGAGGTCGAAACATGTAGTGATAATAAAAAACGTGTTGTGTAGTCGGTAAATTCACTCTACTATTAATTAAACACACAACAGGCTGCAAGAAACGATTCAAAATATGGTATTATTTCCAGATGACACCAGTATTATAGTAACTGACACTAAGTTAAACTTTGAAATAAATCTTAATCAAACGTTTAAAGATATAAATACGTAGTTTAATGCTAATTTCCTCACCCTGAATTTTAATAAGACTCAGTATGTAGAGTGTCGACCTATGAATTATTATATCACTTACTTACTTACTTATTTATGGAGCTGAGCCCTTCTTAAGGAGAAGCCAAATCTGCAGCTACTCAAGAATTTCCCAGCATTTTATGGAACCCAAAGGTTCATTACCATGTTCACAAAAGCCCTCTACTGGTCCCTATTCTGAGCCAGATCAATCCAATCCATGCCATCCCATCCTATCTCTCTAAGATCCATTTTCATATTGTCCACCCACCTATGCCTTGTTCTTCCCAGTGGTATATTTCCTTCTGGCTTTCCCACAAATATCCTATTTGCATTTCTCGTCTCCCCCATTTGTGCTACATACCCTGCCCACCTCATCCTCCTTGACATGATCATTCTAATTATACTTGGAGAAGAGTACAAGTTATGAAGCTCCTTATTAAGCAGTTTTTACCAACTGCCTGCCACTGCATCCCTCTTTGGTCCAAATATTCTCCTCAACACCCTGTTCTCAAACACCCTCGGTCTATATTCCTCCCATAGTGTCAGAGACCAGGTTTCACAATCATACAGAACCACAGGCAAAATTATGGTTTTGTATATTCTAATTTTTATGTTTTTAGACAGCAGATGAGAGGATAAAAGGTTCTGGGCAGAATGGTAACAAGCATTACCCAAGTTCAGTCTCCTCTTAATTTCCTCCTGAATCAGGTTTTGATCTGTTATTGTTGTTCCCAAATATCTGAATTGTGCCACAGTTTCAAAAGATCTGTTTCCTATCTTTATATTATGATTTTGCTCTGCATTTTGGTGATGAAATACCAACATATACTTAGTTTTCTCTGTGTTCACTTCTAGACCAATCTTCTTATTTGTATCAATTAAAGTTTGTGTGTTTTTCTTTATGGTATCTGTATTATCACCAAGTAGATTCACATCATTGGCATAGACCAACAGCTAATGTGTCCTGTTTAATTTCAGTCCCATCTGGTTTTCCTGGACCTTCTTAATGGCATATTCTAAAGCAAAGTTGAAAAGGAGTGGCGATAAAGCATATCCTTTGCTTAGACCATTCTGGATAGGAAATTTATCAGACAAATATTTACCTGTACAGACTTTACCATAAGTTTCATTTAAACACATTTTAATCAGCTTAACTTGTTTCATGGGTATCCAATACTCTATCAGAATATTGTACAATATTTCCCTCCTATCTGAGTCATAGACTTTCTTGAAGTTTACGAGTAGCTGATGTACTGTATCATTATACTCACATTTTTTCTCCAATATCTAACAAATGCAAAAGATCTGATCAGTAGTTGATCCTGTTACGTCAAAACCCACATTGATGATCCCCAATAATTTCATCTATATATGAACTTAACCTTGAGAGGAGAATATTGAATAAAATTTTGTATAAAACTGATATCAGTGATATCCCCCAATAATTACTACAGTTAGTTTTGTCACCCTTCTTGTGAACTGGTACAATAACAGATTCCTTCAACTGATCAGGCAATTTTTGCTCATGCCAAATAGAAGTAATTGGCTTATGGATCTTAGAATTTAATATTTCGCCTCCTGCTTGAACAAGTTCTGCCGGAATTTGATCGCTACCTGGCAATTTATACTTTCTCAATTTTGCAATAACAATTTCAACCTCCCAATTGTAAGTTTGAAAATGTCTTCCCTCCCTACTTTGACATTGAAATCTCCTAACAAAATTCTCATAGGGTACTTCAGGAATTTATCAAATACATGTTCTAGTTCTTCATAGAACATGTCCTTTATGTCATCAGTTTTATCTTCTGTTTGGGCGTGAACATTCATAACGATGATATCACACCAGCGACCTTTTAGTATTGTCATGTGTTGGGTGTATGTCACAAGACAAGTAACTTCACGCCTTGTTTGATATAGCAAATTTATTGAACACTCGCTCTCACAGTCACACAGTTTACAATCTCACAATTATTGCCCTCAGCAGTATCACAAATTATCACATCAAATCTTCCAACCACGCATTCGGGTCTTCTTCCCGCAACTGCTGCTTTATTTCAACTGTCTTCGGTGGCTGTTACATTTTAACTGACTTCGGCGGCTGCTCCATTTTAACTGATTTCGGTGGCTGCTACATTTTAACTCTTCTTAGGCAGTGTAGTTCTCTTATAAACCATCAGCCAGACAATGGGAAAACGCCTCGCTTCTTTGTTGCCTAGTCGCCGTGTTTACAGGTGTTGCTTGGCAATGTGGTCGAGTGTTGTTTATAGCTGTGTAGTAACCGCAGTATCCCCCAGTATGTCACAGTGGGAAGCTCTGCCACATCACCGCAGGGGATGGGGTGGGGTGCTGACCGGCCCGTCACCGTAGCAGCGGCAGCGCTGTTACGCCACCGCTGGCGGGGGAGGGGTCATCCTGCATAGCGCAAATACATCACAGTATTATATATGATATCCTATCACTAACAAACTCTACCCTCTTAACTGCTGATATGATTCTCTCATGTACAGAAAAACCTGTACCTAATTCATGATTTTCATTCCACTTTCCATAGAAAAATGTATAGTTTCCTGCTGGTGGGATGCCACCTCCATTCCATCTGACCTCCTGTACTCCCACTAAATCTAACTTATATTTTAAGATTTCCTCTGGCACTGCCCTGACCAAACCTGCTCTATACATACTCCTAACATTCCATGAACCGATTCTCACTACTCAAATTAATTATGATCAGATACATATAACAAATGTGACTGAGATTAAATTTCTGGGATTAATTTTTGATGATCCTCTTTCATGGAAACAGCATATTGATCATGTTATTACTAAAATATCCATTGCATGTTATGCATTGAGAAATATAAAATATATTGTACCTTTAGATACATTAAAGCTAATTTATTTTGCTCATACACATTCTATCATAAATTATGGCATAATTTTTGGAGTTGGCTCCTCTTGTGTTAACAAAGATTTTATGTTGCAAAAGAAAGTTATTAGAATTATAACGAATTCTAGACCAAGAGAGTCTTATAGGGACATTTTTAAGAATTTGGAAATAATGACGTTCTACTCTCAGTATATATATTTATTTCATTTATACACAAATAATAATAAACATTTATTTAATTTTAACAATGAGATTCACAAATACAAAACTAGAGCCCTCGATAATTTATATTTACCTGCAGTTAACCTAACAAAATGCAATAAAGGTGTGTACATATCAGTTGTTATAGTTTTTAATCATCTTTGTCAAACAATAAAAAAGTTGGCTACTAATGAGAGAAGTTTTAAATCTTCTTTGAAAAGGTTTTTATATCATTATTCTTTTTATACCATGAATGAATATTATCAATATAATTGGTCATAAGTGTGTAAATTTATAATGTAATTAATTTAGGTAATTTAAATTAAATTTTATTAATTTTAAGTTTTATAGTAATGTTCCTTTTAAATTATGTTTATTAATTAAATTTTATTAAGTTTTTGTTTTTTATTTTATTATTTATGTTAATTGACTAATGTATGTGATTTTAATTATGTAACTCATGTAATATATTATATGTATCTGGACACATCTATTATGAAAGGGACTATTTCCACATCTTAGGTTTTTTACCTGTATGGATATATGGAAAATAAAGGAAATGAATGAATGAATGAATGAATGAATGAATGAATGAATAGTATATACCTGACCAGGGTTACTGCCAGAGGTTGAACTTAAAGTTCAGGTGGGGAATCAAGGAATTCATACAAAAGTTGTTGGGGTAATCTTTTGGGAAGTGTTCACTTTGAAGATGTAGAGGAATGTGGAAATAGTACTGAAGTGAAAGATGAACGTGTCTACTATTGCTGGATGCCACTTGGTCATGCTCCATGTCCCCTTCAAAGTTGTGATCAATTGTAAAGGAAGCCTTACACTATATTTCACATTTTATTGAATACACAGTAAGTACATTATTTTCATTTTTGGAAAGGGGAGGTATTAAATGTTGTTATCTTGCAGTTCCCTTTGCTTGCTTATATGATTTATCTGTTCTTCTGTCTGTCTGTCTGTCTGTCTATGTATGTATCTGTGCATACACCCAGCTCTCTCTCTCTCTGTCGTGTTTCATATTGTGGTCTTCTGATTCATGACACCATGTAGTCTGGTATGTAAGCACCAACATTTACCTTCAGTTTCAAGGTGGAAAATGAAGCTGGACTAAAGAAGCATTCTGTATTTTGTTTTAGTTCTAAATCAATCTTGGACAGTGTTCCAGCTAGCTGATGTAACTGGTTATGATTTCAGGTGGTTGAGTTGGTAACATCACATACTAAGAGTATTACGCTTGCAATTGGTGATGGGGCCAATGATGTAGCAATGATCCAAAAGGCCCATGTTGGTGTAGGTATCTCGGGTGTAGAAGGCCTTCAAGCAGCATGTGCATCAGACTACTCCATAGCACAGGTGAGTGGTATTGAAAACTCTTGATCTTCTGGGTTTTGCAAGTTAGAGTAATGAGACTCTTCAACTTAAAGTTGTTAAAATGAATATTAGGTGCATTTATCATTGGTATCATTCATCTTAGGGTTCAAGAAGGTCAAAACTTGCTGGCTTTAATACAATTAATTAGTATATTATTATAATGGGACCACTACGGAGACCCACGCGTACATGGGAAAATAATATTAAAATGGATCTTAAAGAAATGCTCTTGTGTAATGTATAATATTGAGATTTTAGGTTTTCCTGATGGTGAATATTTGGATTGTGACCTTCTGGTTTGGGCTGCATATAGTCTGATGTGGTGGTTATTGGTGTCTTAGAAGAACTGCTGCCTCTATATGCTACACTGAAGATGGAAGCAGCAAGTTTTGAACCACTCAGAAAATTACAGTGTCCCAACACAGAAGACCACAGTCAAAATCTTCACCACCATTAAAACCTGAAATCTGGCATAGGAAACCACCATGAAGTGTATGTAACACATCGCTGTACAAATTTCTCACATCATGTCAGTGATTCTTCAGTTATTGTCATTGATCCAATATTTTTTTTGTGGTAGCCATGTTGTTGTTTTCAGTTTCTTAAAAAAACTTGTGAACTTTCAAAAACCTGCCATTAAATATTGTTTTTGAATGGTTAGCACTCTTTCATATTCAGACAGTACTGGGTTTCATTCTCAGCTCAGAAACTGGCTTAGTGCCTTTGGGCAGGTCATGCATTCTGTCTCTGAAATCCTTTTCAGTTCATATCAGTCATCCTACCATTCATTGTTACACAGCCACTGTCGTTGATTATGTTTCATTAAATGTCTGTATATTTGAATAGTTACGGGTCTGTGGCAATACAAAATACCACAAGAATTTATACTCATAGGCACAGGTGTTCCCACTCTTCAAGTTTGCAGAACCAGAATTGTTCTTGTTGATGGAATTGCAAAGTATGAAGATTTTGTGGTCTGTAGAGGTACTCAACCCAAAACTTTGTGGTATGTGTTAACCATCTCTTCCATATGTGCTACGTGGTTGCTCATCTCATCCTCCTTGGTTTAATTGTCCTAATAATACGTGACGAAGAGTATAAATTATGAATCTCCTCATTAAGAAATTTTCTGCATCCTCCTGTCACTTCCTGTTCTAAGATCCAAATGTACTCCACATCACTCAGTTCTCAAACACTTTGAATTTATTTTCTTGCTTTAATATGAGGACACACACATATATAACTGGTAAAATTATTTCTGTATATTTTAATCATTTCATTATTAGATAGTAGGCAAAAAGGCGAAAGATCCTGAAATGAATGGTAGCAAACATTTCCTGAATTTAGTCTGCTCCTTCTTTCTTCCTGAATGCAAACTTTTCAAAAGGAAGGCAGTTTAGTAGATCTCATAGCAAAATATTCTTTTAAGGTGGAAAGGTGCTTGGCCTCATGTTGGAGGACTACTTCATGCTGACTGACTGCTTATCCATCATATTCATAACTGCCCTTCATATTTATGATCTGTCTTCTTCATTCTGATATTTAACATGGGTAACATATAAAAGTATCTCTGTCTGCATAGAATTTTAACCTTCAATTAGTGCTCTTTAATTTTGAATACTACCAGCTTCTTTTAGAGACTGTCTAGAAAACATGTTGGCTCCCTGAAATAGTTGCATGTTTTGGGGATTATTGCTTCAGTAGATTTAAATAACATGATGGTCCCTTGCATGTTTTCAGTTTCGGTTCCTGCTGAAGCTGCTCTTAGTGCATGGTGCTTGGAATTACAACCGGATGTGCAAACTGATTCTGTACAGCTTCTATAAAAATATTTGCCTCTTTGTTATTGAACTGTGGTTTGCCATCTATTCTGGCTGGTCTGGACAGATCCTATTTGAAAGGTGGACCATTGGCTTATACAATGTGGTAAGTTAAATTTCCAAGTTTACATGCTATGTAAACTGTTTATTTCGTTGCCATTCAACATTTGAATATGGGCTTAGCTAACTCCAATGTGCTTGCTTATGTATTGAATATTTAGTATGGTATGTGAGCTACAAATTGACCATTGTCACAGTAACACAATATACTTGCTTTCAGAAGGTACTTGAAGAAGTTTTCTGGGATGTGACATCATCAAGTTCAGTGGTTAGGTTCATTCAAACAGAATGTTGGTGTCTCTACCAAACTATATGACATCACATCCCAGAAGACTGTAATTCTGATACTGCAGTTAGAACATCAGATCTGATGAAGGTACTTTGTTTAAATCCCATTGGGCTCTGGAAGTCAAAGATTTTTCATGATTGTGATATCAGCACAACAATTTTTGAGAGTTAATTTGTGGCATGTAAGGTTAAAAGTTTGAATGGGGATGCAGTGAAATGGCTAAAATATAATTCTAGTATCTGTATCTGAATCATATTGCATTGAGGCAATGGCCTTGAAACAAACACTAGATAATGGCCCATAAACAGCAACAGAGGACCAGTGTTTTTTATGTGGTCCTTGCTGAGATATTATAAGCAGAACAGTTAGTTCAGGCAGTCAGTTGAGTTGGTTGGTTGATGGGTGATTGAGTAAATCAGTGAGTGAGTTAGAGAACTGCTCAGGATCAGTCGTTGTGAGCCGTTGCTGTAAGATGCTGGTAGCTGAGGCTGGGGATAGTTTGGGAACCTAGAGGAAAGGGAATGTCAGCTGTTCATAGCATTTACTAAGCAATGGTGGTGATTCTGTCAGAGAGTCCAATAAATCCAATCATTGATCCAAAACCCATCTATAGTCACACTCGTACATGTGACTATCATTTATTGTTCTCTGTTTCATAAGCCATTGAATTTCCATCATTTCAAGCTAATGAAATGTATACAGGATGTCAAAATTCATGAATGCAGATTCAACTTTGCAGTTCCTTGAGGAACTTTGAGATGAAAATGTCCCTTAATAAGATTTCGAGAGAAATATTATTTCTGTGGAAAGCACTAAATTGAATGTGATGTGACTGCATGGTATGTATACTCCATAACTGTATTTTCCACAGAACTTATACCTCAGTCAGAATGTAATTATCTTAGTGTCCATCAAGGAATCACTTAGTTGAGTCCTTGGGCATAAATATCCACACCATATTGCCAGTCACATTCAACTTTAATTATGTTTCCTGCACAAATTGTGTGTCAGAAATTTTATCAAGGGGCATTTTTATCTCAGTGTACATAAACGGATTGTGGAAGAAGACTGTAGGTGCAAATTTTCAAACACTGAGTGTGTGGTGTAAATTCAGTAAAGTAATGAAGCTTGTTTGCTACTAAACATAACAGGTTTTTTAGACGCAGATCAAATTCCAAAAAGTAGTTAACATTTAGTATTCATGGCCGTTTTGTTTACATTAGGTAGGTAGTTTGTTATCAGAGAAGATTGTTTTTTGGAGGTGCTTCTTCAGAACTAGCAACATATTGTGACATGTTGAGCTATGGATCACCCCTACCTCCCCAGCGGTACGTGGCGGTAACGTAGCGCTCGCATTACTATGGTAATAGGCAAGTCCCCGCCCCGCCACTCCCCTCCGTGGTGACATAACGCGCGGAGCCAAAGTGAGCCGAGCGGAGCCGAAGTGACGTCACCAAGGGATATCGCGGTTGCTAGGCAGCAGTCAACAACTCCGGACAGCGTTGCTAGGATATACGCAAACACGGTGACGCGTCACCGCTTCCTACTGTGACGTGGCAACAGGCACCACTGCGGCTATATAAGGGAACTGCACAGCAGCTACGAGTGAGTTGTAACGTAGCAGTCGCACAGTTGTAATGTGGCTACCGCAGATTTAAGTAGTAGACGAGCGAGTGTGTTTTCAACAATTCTCCAGTCAGCCGACTACAGTTGGAGCATAGCAGCCAACGCGGAAAGAAGAACCGGACGTGTGTGTGATTGTGTAATTGGGAGTGTGTGATACAGGGACTCTCACATAGCTCCCGTACTGTAAACGTGTAGACTACTGTAGACAGAGTGAACTGATTTGTGCATAGGGTTATAAATCGTGAAACCCTGCAACAGTGTAAACAGATTAATGCGATTAGGGTTATAAAGTGTGAAACCCCGCAACTGTGTGATAAGTAATTGTAGCCGTTACTTGTAGATTGTTAAATAAACGAATTAACCATCTCTACGGTGTCTTCTGTAACGAAACACGTTACAATATACATATTGATATACATGTTTTCCAACATTTCACAAACATTGAAGTTGCCATCTTTGGGGTTATTCCCAGAGAGCTGAAGTCATGCATTGAACTTCAGCTGAAATAACCCATAAGGACTAGAAATATCATGACTATATTGCTTTACAAGTTGCACATTTTTCATATGAAGCATAAGGTGCCAAATCTAGAACAAACACGTTATTAGAACTTGCTGATGTTGTGTTTTATATGTATGTGAATCCTTCTGTTTTGTTTCAGCTGTTTACTGCAGCACCCCCCCTGGCTATGGGCTTGTTTGACAAGGTGTGCTCTGCCGAAACAATGCTAAAATACCCAGCCCTGTACAAGCCATCACAAAATGCAGACCTTTTCAATGTAAAGGTGTTCTGGGTGTGGATCCTCAATTCTCTGGGTCACTCAGTAATCCTTTACTGGCTCCCTCTTTTAGCAGCAGAAAATGATGTGATATGGAGTAATGGCAGGGAAGGAGGCTATCTTCTGCTTGGGAACATTGTTTACTCAGTAAGTCAACACTTTTGTACCAGACATTGATTATGAATATGTATTCCAGATTTCTCTGTCTTAAAAAACTCTTGGTACATTTTTCAGATGGCTGGAAAAGAACATCATATGTATGCAATTAACACATCTCCAGTGAAAATTTTTAATATCATAAGTATGAAAATCATCATCATCAGTAATCTGTCAAGACGACAGGTCCACAGTCTCTTCCAAAACAATTCCTCCATTTAATGCGATCTAGAGCTTTCTCCTTCAAATGACAGTATCCTCTTTTGTCCCCAAGGTCATCCAGCATCTTCTTACGTCTTCTTCCTCGTCTTCTTGTTACTTCTATCCACCCCTCTATCTTTCCTTCAGTAACTTCTTTTAGAAGGCAGTTTCTGCGTAAAACATGACCAATCCAATTAGCCTTCCGTTTTCTTATTTCGTGTAGGATATTCCTCTGCTCACTGACTCTAATTAACACGTCTTCATTTCTCACATAATCGGTCCAGCTGATCTTCTCCATCCTTCTCCAACACCACATTTCAAAACTTTCCAGATGTTTCTGATCTACTGCCCTAAGTGTCCACGTTTCAGCCCCATACAGAGCTATGCTCCAAATGTAGCATTTCACTAGTTTCTTCCTCAAATTTAAGTCCAATTTTCTGGTAAAAAGATTCTTCTTCTTGCTAAATGCAGCTTTTGCCATGGCAATCCTGGATTTAATTTCACTAGTACACCTTCCATCATCTGTTAACAAGCTACCCAAGTATTTAAAACATTTCACATTTTCCAGTTGTTTTTGGTCTATCTTTATTGTGACTGGGGTTGGTTGTCTCGAAATTTTCATTACTTTTGTTTTTTCCACATTCATTTCCATGCCATAGCACCTTCCAATTTCAATTAGTCTATCAATCATGCCCTGTAGCACAGTTTCTTCCTTGGCCATTAACACAAGGTCATCTGCATATTTCACAGTTTGAATAATTTGCCCTCCTACTGTGAAGTCTCCGAGCCCATCCAGAGCTTCCTTGGTAAGGCATTCACTGTACAAGTTGAACAGAATTTGTGATAAACAGCATCCTTGTCGAACTCCTCTTCCAATCTGCACACTTCCTGTCTCCCCTCTGTCCAGTCGTACTCTAGTATGAAAATGTTCTGAGGGAAATAATTACTTTCTGTGAGAGTTTGGCAGAAGCCACAAGAAATAAACATGCAGGAAAATACTGTAGTTAGGACACTGTATCCAGGTTTTGTCTTGTTACAAGTTGTAAATAAGCAGTCTTAGCACAAACCTTTAATTAAAATATAGTGTTTAATTCATGTTTTAGCCATCTTGTGGTCATCATCAGGTGGAACATAAGTTAATATAAGTTAAATTCTGCATTGATGTTAAAGACAGCAGTTTCCTCACCCACAACTTTTAACACCTGTTGATGACCAGTTTGGTCAAAACATATCATCAAAACTTTGAATGACTAGCTTTTTTAAGTTTTAATAAATTGTTGCATGTAAGACTGTGGTATTAAAAACATTAAGTGAAAAGTGCAACAGGATGCTGCAATATTATAATATGAGAAAAGCCCTCTTCCATGTACTGTATTGAAACTACCATGTTCTTTGACCTTTTTCCTATCGGTTTGAGTCTGAGTTCCACTAATTCATTAGAGATCTTTTACAGGCCAGTAAGTTCCTTTACATTAATGACACTGCCTCCTCCTCTAATGTGTTGTTTTTCTGCTCCTGTAGTATGTGGTAGTGACAGTATGTATGAAAGCAGGACTGGTAACAAATGCGTGGACATGGCTTACGCATCTTGCTATCTGGGGCTCCATAGCGACATGGTTCATCTTCATAGTCATATACAGGTGGGTACTTCATTATGTTTTGTTTTCCCACACTCACACCCAATTCCGAGACCAAAGGAGCATTCTGGTTGCCCCTGTGTTTAGAGACTGCTCTTTAGCCTGTGGACACAAGTGCAGCACATCAATCTTGCTCCACTAGAGTAAACTACACAAAATGATCCAGTATTTGATTTAGTATTAATTATTATTCAACTATGCAATGAACAATGTTTTGTAACATGATAACACAGCAGATCATAGGGATTAGTTCTTACTCTTTCTGAATTCGCTAGTGTTGCAGTGTTCCTGCTCATGCTTCAGTTTACACAAGATGACTGACAAAGGAAGACTGTCTGTAGAACAACGCATAAAAGCAGTGCTGTTCTTTACTGAAACAAGAGGTGTTGTGGTCACACAGATGTAGCTTCATGCCCATTTTCAAATGCGTTCATTCAGAACAATTCATAAGCTTTATAACCAGTTTAATAATGATGATTCAGTGTTGGAGAGGAAATGTCAGTGGCCTTCATCTATGTGTTCTCCAGAGAACACTGACACTACGACAATGGCACCGCACAGAAGCCCCAGTAAACAACAAAGGAGGCTGGAGCACAACTAGGGATATCCAGATAATAAATACAACGAATATTGAAAGGCCTGCAATGAGATAACTGAGGATATGTGCCATCCTGTAATCAACAACATCACAGTTTGTGTTGAAGAAGTTGTGAGGCGTAATAGTGTTCTTATTGAACTCCTGATTCACAGAGGATAAATTTCCATGCAATGGTATTCCTTTTTGTGTGTTAGTTTGTAGTATCACGATTGAAATAATGATCTTATTAATAGATCAAATACTGAATCATTTTGTGCACCACCCTATATTTGAAGTAGTATAAGCTGTAGGAATTATTGACCCAATTGAAATATCTAACTTAACATAATTAATAGATGGAGAAATAATGAAGTAGTTAGTCAGAAGGGTTTAACCACAGTTTGGAAGTAATGGTGGTGCAGTAATCGTGTAATATAGGTGCGCCTGCTAGAGTTTGACTTAAATAGTGGGAAGAATGAGCAGTAGGAACAACTGCTGAACGAATCTACACAATTAGCCTAATGAAAGTACTCATATACATGGAGTTACTTGATATTACCTTCAGTATGACTTGAGTTATTCATTGCTGTTTTTATTGTTCTACATTATTTTTACCTCCAGGAAGTGAATCTGTAACCAGCTGATCCATGAAGTTTCCAGTTATGTGATATGTGTTAGGTCCAATGGGCTAAATTTGACTAGTATTGGGAGAGCTAGGTTGGTGGAGCAGTTCTTGATGTATTTCTGTGTATAGTTCTGTGTAATGTATGGTAAATAGTCTAACTGCTATTTTTTGATTATATTGAGTCACACCACTGTAGACATTAATTGGCTTGTTAAGGGGTAAAGATACCTAACTCATCCAATCCATGTATTCTGAAGAGGGATTGGACACTTGGAAAAGTAAGAATGTTGTTTGTGGAATCATTTTTCCATATACGAAAGCCAGCTCGAGACTATGAGAGAGGGTGACTTTGAATGGGAGTAGTAGCACTGTACTATCAGTAGATGTGGCAGTGGCTAAGAACTGAAATTTAGAGTAGCCCTTAAGCCAGGTCAGAATCAGTCTGTCCGATAAGTATAGTGCACGAGGTGAGAATGAGAGCATTTGGTAGTTGTGTGAGTCCATGCCAACAAATTACCTATTACCTAGCTTCATTTGGGTGGTATTTTATGCAAATTGACCCCAAATGATAGCATGAGGCATTTTAGGTGATGTCAGTGGTTGGAATTTCTCACCTTTTAGGCCTTTCAGTCACAGTGCATTGCCACAGGAACAGGGACCCACTTAACTTGAGTGTCACATTGGATGATGCAATGTTGATAAGTGACAGCTGAATTTAATTCTTAATATGCAGGTCTTGTTGTAAATAAGGACTGCTGTTGGGTGAGCTGCATGAAGTTTGTGATAATAAAAATTGTGTAATTTCCCAAACTTGTGAAGTTAAAAATTCTGACACCTCCATTCAGGTAGAAGTATTTAGACAGTTGTTATTGAAACCACTTATGAAATTGGTTTTGTTTATGTCTTCACATAAAATGGGTTCAAAAGAAAACTGAGTGTTCAGGGTCCCTAGATAGAGGTGCTATCAAATCATGATTTAAGTAGAACAATTTGCCAAATATAGTCGTTTTAATAAAGTTTGATGATGAATGAAATCCAAAATAATTTTTGAGTTATGTAAATATATTGTCTTTTAGCAATTTTTGGCCAACAATACCCGTGGGAGCAGTGATGTTGGGGATGGATCGCATGATGTATACGTCTCCTGTCTTCTGGCTCGGGCTATTCCTTATTCCATTTACTGCCCTAATACTGGATATTACATATAAAGTGTGAGTACCTGGCTTTTAGTCTCGTCACTGATATTTATGTCATTCTGATTGCTTCATCTTGCTTAACAAAACTTGCAAGTCAGGAAGCAGTCTTCATTCAAAATGAAGAAAACATTCACTGTGATAAGAAAATTGACTGATTTTGTTATACAGTAAAACTTGGTTATAGCAACATCGGTTTCTGCTACACCTTGTCTATTGCGTCAAATATTCAATGGTACGAACTAATTCCTCATAAAGCAACTGTTTTTATACCTTGCTTAGTACGACATGGACAAATGCATCAACCTCATATGTAACGTCATTTTCATTCCTGAATTTCTCTGATATCGTGGGAAAGTTCGATGTGTCCGCCCACCCTCACTTTCTCTACTTGCTGACGTGACTGTCCTGGAAGAATACGACCGCGGGCTGCAAGAGGAGCGTGGGTTTTATGCGAAAACAAGGGTGTGGGGTGGGACTGCATGAATAGTGCAAGAGGACGCGGCAGGTTGTTAACTGCATTCCTTTCCTAGAATCTCGTCTAACAGGACCTCACATTGTCTACTTACCCTATAGTGTTCCTGCCTAAACCCAGAGAAGTGCAGTAGCGAAAACATGGCAATGAAAAGGAAAGTTTTAAGCATTGAAGAGAAAGTTAAAGTGATTCGTGAAATA